TACACGGATGAGGCACACATTTGTTGAACTGGGCCTGCGGGCAGTGTTCTTCATTTGACAATATTTGGCTGGTAAATCTAACACATGAAACAAAATGCGCGCGCAGAATGAAATCAACCAAAACGTTCTTAGAAGTGCCACTGCAATGGTAAAGAAGTTCAAGAGATCTGGAAAGGAGAATAAAGTCTTTCTCCTTTAGACCGGGAAAAATAGTGGGGGACAGTAAAACCGGTGTGAAAGAATGCGGGCTGTTACAAATGTAAGAACTGCCGTTACGATAACGCGTAGCTTTTACGTCTAAAAGCGTTGAAGCTTAATCTACGAACCCTAAGGTGAATGTGTTCAATATACTAAAACCAAGAAAGGTTATGTGACAAAGTAACTCCAAGATATTTGACAGTCAATTTCAAGGATGATATTATTATTGACAGCAAGTTCTGGCTGGTTAATTAAAACGTTTCGTAATAAGTATTAAGGTTAAAAGGAACATTACGCGTTTATCGTCACTCAGCATCCAAAAATTTCTTTTAAGCAGTTTTGAATTGGGAAAAACACTATCAGGATAAGTCGAAGGTTAACTAACCACCACGTCATCAGCATACTTGCACACGATAAAGTCGTGAGCGTTAGAAAGGTTGTTCATTTGCACTGAAAAAAAACGAGAAAATATCACCCTGATAAACCTCAGAGTTGGCCTCTAGCAGGGAGGAAGATTCGCGGTTACAAAAAGTGAATTGCGTCCTATATGAGAAGTAATTAATCAGTACATTGAACACATAAGGTACCAGGCTACAATCCGAGAGACATTAAGTGAGTATGCCACGCTCAAGTGATCTGAAGGCAGTGGTATAATCAAGAAAACTTAAACGGACGATGCCAAGCACTTAATTCAACAGGGATGACACCTAGTGAACAACCTGAGAGCAACTGCGTCAAGAGTGGAAAGCAAAGATTTGTAAACAAATTGCAAGGGGTCGTGAGCAACAGACAAGAAGATCTGGCTCCGAAGAACTCTTGCAAATTTTCATTAGTCCTGAAGTGATAGATTGATACTTGGAAGAACCCTTTTGAGCGATTGGTGTTATTCGGGCAGCTCTCTAGTAATCAGCTATATTTCCAGATGGTATGCACAAACTAAACAACTCAGAAGTAGGTGGACCAAGTTGTTAGATACACACTCAACAGGACAAGGCATAATGATTCAGGGTTACGTACCTTATTGGTTTCAAGAGACTTCAGCGCTTTAGATGATAGTGTTTGGGTTATCCTATTTGATTGTTCTGAGGTATCAGACGCTCTTGGGGGTCTAGTGGAGACTTCCACCACAGTTAAATACATTTAACCATTGGGGGATTAACGTTCTCGCTAGGAGTGGAGCCAACACCTAAGGCCATCAAGAGTACTTCGTGCATCTGAACAATGGAATGCGCTGAACCAAACAACACTCTAAATTGATTGAACCATTCACACAAGGTGATGACCATATGCCGTGTCACTCATGAATAAGGGATTGAATTGTCAACCCGATGGTTCGCGGTTCGAGTCCTGGCAGGGATAGAAAAAGTACGCACTACTGACGAGTCACAAATGATGAAACAGCTGTCCAGTGCTCTTTGTCGGCCACTACAAATATTTCCACCACAATTAAGGATTTCGAAACTACCGGGGAACCAGATTGGTTTCTCCAGCAGAGGTGAATGAAATTGGCCTACAGAAAAGCTCGCAACTTGACGATTTATCTGTTCAATATCGGGGAAGAAACTATTGCATGAGACGCAGGTGTTTCAAGGCACACCACATATCATGACAGTTCTCGTTTCCCATAAGAGTTTAAACATACATCCAAGTTAGGCACAGCATTTCCATTTCGATTGAAGGTACTACATGTTTGGACAGTACTGCGCTTGTCAGTCCTGTAGGCCTTTTCTTTATCATGACCGGGCCGTTTTAGAAGAGGTGAAAATAATCTATCTCAAATGGGCAGAAATAGAGGCAACATGATGCTCACAACTGAAAGCGTTGTCAGCATTAGAAAAGACAATGATGCCGGTAGAGGAAGCCTTGTTTCTAAGCTTAGCTATGTTATCAGGGATCAATATCTAGTTATGGAGCGTCAAGACTCGAAACGGGTCATTGGAAGATGAAATTATTTACCGTCAATTTTGCGATTCAAAAAAATAGAACAGTGCTTTGAGTTGCTTCTAGGATTCCACTTTTCAATGAAAAAGATTCCCGGGTTGTTTACGAAGATGCCATCAATTTAGACACCGAGTTGAGTAGGAAAATCTACAAAATGTTTCAATCCGAAAGTTTCTAAGAAATGTGTGTGAAAACGGTTAAAATCACCAGTCTCAATTCCTAAAGACTGTACTGAAATTCTGGCAAATTGTGTGGAGAAAGAGTCAACAAACAAACGAATATCTGAGACAGGCGCGTCGGGGGCAATGTGAATGTTAGCTATTGTGGTTTGTTGGAAGCGACTGAGAAACTGGGGTCTATAAAAAAAAAATACAATTATGTTCAGCATTATTTAACTTTTCGTTTTTACACCATTTTGTGCTGATAAAAGTAATCACTCCGCCCCCTATATTCAGAAAGTTCACCTTTCGGCTACCTCAGAAGATGTCAAATGCATCAAGAGTGATGGCGGCCAAGTGGTTGGGTCACCGACTTGTGACCAGGGGGTCGCGGGTTCGAACCGGTCCACCGCCGCCCGTCTTCCCTATATCTGTATTTTCCCAGACAGCCTTTGTACGGCCGCAGTCCCCTTCCTAAAAGTTGACTGTACCTTTGTATATCCAATAAATAGAAGAAGAAAGTAAAAAGATTTACTTACAAGTTGCACTGCGTTTTATTTGTTGTCCAGATATAGCCAACTTTCTTGGAGTAACAATACTTTTTATTCATTTATTTTCACACGCCCGATTTCAGATTGTATGCCAAGCAAATTACTGTATAATAGTCTTTATATCTTTATCTAGTCGATTCTTCTGGAATATCAGTTTGAAGGGATGCCTCCTAAGCTGATAATTCTGGATAGTGTCAGCACCCCACTAGTGGTTAGATCTAGTAGGTGCGTGATATACGAGGTTCGTATCCCTTGTAATTCAGCGGTAATGAGATGAGTAGAACCATAATATTTGTAATTTACAGTGTCGGTCCTGGATTGCTGTGCTTTGGCTATTTAGTTAGCTGTTCTCTGCAGATGTTCGAGCGCTCTTTCTTGATTCGCTCATGCAATCCGAACATGGGTGATGTGCTCGGTGTTGTTGAATGTATGCTTACAGCACATGTGGAAATAGGTCTACTTCAAACAGTCAAAATACTTACTTGAGTTATCCAACTTACTTCAGAGCCATTTATGATGTTCCATCTCTACGTGTGGATCATACTCATTCTTCCGGAACAATAACTCATTCTTACTGGTTGCATTTTCTAGTGGCTTATTCCCGATTAAGTACGAAAAGTGGCTCAGCTGAAGCAATAACACAACCTCACATATGACAACGTTTAATCCGATGTCATTATCCATAGACGATCGGTGAATTGCGTCGAGTGCCTGTTATAGTGTTGTATGTTGAGGACGTCTTATTGTTCTCTATATTTTAGCTTCATCAGTAACTAGCGAAGCTTCTGCCCCCAGAATATTTGATATCCGAAATGCTAGGGCAAGGTGGAGTTCAAGTACAGATTCCTGTGAAACCCCAAGGACTACATCAATCGGCCCTTATAGTGAACGAAAACATTTAGCTGACGTAGTATGTTGTCCAAGAAATTGTTCAATCCGATCAAGCAAAAGTCCTCAATTATTATGATTGCCGAGCTTTCACGGCAATGTTTAGTCGTTCACGTTGTTGCAAACTTTGAACTATTCAAGCCAAGTCTGGGCTACGTTTATTGTCTCTCCTGCGTCGATTGTTCTTGTCCACTCATATCGTGCAAGTAACCGATTAATGGTCCCTGAATTCGTTTTGTCATTTAGGCTGCCTACCCGTCCTAGTGCGCGAATACTTCTTCAAGTATCATCAGACATAAAGCTATTTCGTGCCTAAAGTTTTCTAACACGGAATGTCCTGGAGGTGGGAGGGGGGGGGCCACGCAACCTCTGAAGTGTTTCATTTACTTCTTGTCCTGCGGCTCATATGCTTGTTTTCATTCTTGAGGATAATAATTTCAACTGGTTCTGTCATCACAATTGATGTACCCATCCCCGTACACCTGTCCCCACTTTGATTTCGAACAGTTAGCAACGCGAATGCTTGAATGTCGCGTTTGCGCCACTTGTGGCACACCAAATCCAATAACAATGACCAGTTGTTTGACTTGTGAAGCTCGTNCCGGTTCCCTGTACCGAACACAGCCAGTTTCGGCGCGGTCACCTCACCTCCTTCGCCAACCCGACGTGCAGCAGTTCCTTCTGTACTGACGGATGCGAAAGCCACATCGAACTCGAAGATTCAAATGATCTACGTGCCTTGTGCACATTGTCGTCGGCAGAACAATCCAGACGCACGATATTGTGATTGGTGTGGCTTAGAGACACAAACTCCCCCGCCGGTACCGATCGACCATTCTATCATTTGGCCTCGTTTATCTCCGTCCAGGGTATTTGATCAGTCGCTGCAGTCGTATGGTCCCAATTCTATGGACTGGTGCGGATGGTCGATTAGATGCTCTCATTGTGGTGCGACAGTGGGACGCGACTCGAAGTTCTGCTGTGGTTGTGGCGCATCGATAGAACCGCCTTCGCGTCACGCTTTTTGGGTGGACCAGCTGAGAACACGGGGTATGAGTACATGTTTTGCGTTAACCTGATCACGTTTCCTTTCGCCTTTCTGTCTGGACCGTTTATTGCAGAAGATTTTGTTGTAAATTAACATTCGAATGAACTGAAATAAAGTTTGTACTACTTTTCTCAGAGTCCTATCTCAGCTCCTGTCTCGGATGTTCAAATGAGAAAACAACCGGTTTCGGTGGATAGTATTTGATTTGTTGTTGACCACCAAATTCGTTGATATAGATTTCATGAATTTTCACATTCTTTGTCGTATCAGTCAAAAGTCTTACGACTGTTATCAGTCTTTGTTTATTGTGCGTCCGACGCCGATCCGGAGCTGTACTAGGCTCATTTTAGCTCTTTGCCGGTTTTCGCCTACTTGATGATAAGTTTACTTCATGGAGTGTTTCACGTTGAATCTTGGGTATGTAGTTATCAAAGGCGTCTGCGGTACTTCTAAGCCTTTTTCTTTTAGGTCGCACCATTAGCTCTTGTTTAGCTGAATATTGCCTCTAGAGGAACAGGGTGATGTTGAAATCCTTATGTGATTGTGGATCAGTTTCGATCTCGTCACGATGATTTCTGCTGACTTTTATAGTATTTATCACTGGGAGATATGGCTGTAGGCGTGTCGGTTCTGATGGATGTTTTAAGACGCTCCACGATCACAGTTTCTCCTGACCAACGAATGCCTTCGTAGCGGGCCTCATTTCGGCTAATTGATTTGAGATAGAGAGGGTGGCAATGGAGGACTTACCCGAAATCAGGTCACTGTGCTTTGTACTTTTACTGTGAATCACATGTACCCGGTACGACCGAGAAAATGCCGACACGTTCACACGGTCGCGACTGATCCCAATCCGGTTCTGATTCATACAGTGACAATTCTTAGAAGAAGGTTTGGCTTCCCCTGACACGGAAACACGGAAACAGAACTAAGCCCGTGTAGCGATGGCAATAGTGTTTGATACCATGTGTAAGATAAAACGAGACGATTAAAGTCACAATAACGACGACCACAGAACTATCGATTAATGTATCGTTCTCAAGGATCAAGCCAGCACAATAGATACAACACTAGAATAAAGAGACGAGTCAATCACGAATGTCTAGCCGAACCTTTCTGACATGAGTCGGTAACGTGAATTGCTAATCGTCTTGCCGTGGTCGTGAATTACCTGTGCATAATCGAACATGTTTATGGATTGCTTTTGAATTGGATCAATACGTGTTTCTCGGACGATCGGCGTTTTTTACGATGTAACCCTGCATTTATGGTGTTAGCCATCCGCCGTGTAGCTCGTAGGTAGGGGTTTCGATTTCCAGCTGGAAGATTTGCGGATTGGTAATTACACACTGCTTATGAAACTCTATTAAACCTAAACAGCTGTTCGATGCTGTTTATCGGTCATCACACCAAAGTCCATAGCATATGCTGTACAGTTTTAAAAGAACACCCTGTACTTGCACATGTTCCGTTTTTCTCTGTATGTAGGTACGTTATACGTTTTTCAGAGAGCCTTTAAAAGTCCTTGAGATCCACTAAAAGCTAACAGGTGGAAGAGACAGAGAGTTAACAACAGATCGATGCAAAGAAAACGTAAGCTGATAGGTGAAATGATGATCTTCAGGGGAGAAAAAGAACATCCTTATCATTCTTCAGTGGATGATTGCTCATGTTAGGATTTAAGGGTTTTCACGCACCCACATGAAGGGATATCCCCGTACCTGCCACCGAGAGTAATCTAAGTGGAAATGAACTGACATTGGCGCTTGATTTTCACGGATCTGGCTGCGTGGAATACGCGTTGCTCTTGTGTTACGATGGTCTGAGGTGGTGGTGATCAAGTGTTTAAGGTCATCAAAATAACGACCCCGAGGTCCTGAGTTTGAACCGCGCCAGCGCCGCCTATCTTCTTCCTTTCTGTGTTTCCCCGGGCAGCCTTTGTGTAGCCATGGCCCCCTCTCTGAAAGTTGATTGCACATTTGTATGCTCAGTACATATAAAAAGGAAGTACAAAAGATAAATGATGGTGGTCCTTCTTAGTGAACGTTACTCGTCTGGGTCTAAGCTAAGTTAGAGCGATCAGTTTGTGAGTTGGTAAAAACATTTGAAAATTTGGACGCTTTTTTCATTGCCGTTTAATCTTCGGTACACTGTCTTTTCCTTGAAATATCAAAGTTGTTTGGCTGTCAGTAGCGCTCGTGCATCTTCTCGACTTATTTGCAACCCCTGTCTACTTGAACTTTCCGTTTTCTCTTCATCTAGGCTTTCAAATTTCCAATCCTTTTTCTACCCCTTGATCCCAATGGCAACCAGAACCAGCGCACGAGATTGCATGGTTATTGGTTGCTTAAACTGAAATCTGAAACTGGTTATCAGCGTAGTGCATTGCGGTAGTGATGCAGTGGTTTGGTTGCTGTTACCAGCGTGCTTTGGATCGCGTGGTCCGACGTTCGCAGCCCGCCTCCACCACCAAACTTAGTGGCAGGCAGCTTTGCTGGCGTCCCGTTCAATACCACTCCTAACCTATCGTGGTCTTACGTGTTTCGTCACTTCATGTCCAGAGGCGCATTTTGCTGGTTTCCATTACTGTACAGCAGGTCTTCGTGACTGCGAGGTCCTTCTGTTTTTCATCACGCAAACTTATGTAATGAAAAACACTTGTGGTGCTGGCGAAATCCCATCCATGTGATGATTAATATATCACAACCTATTTTTGTCAATCAGAAAGCATGGCGCTCATACTTATCTACCTCAATCGCCATTAAAACTTGACGATTTTTCACTACTGGTTTTCTCACAGACAGTGTGCAACATCTAACCCCACTATTATTTTATAGCCATCAGTCATAATAAGGAATTTCGTTTGTCTGTTTCTACATGTACATAAGTTTACTGTACAATCATTTTCGTTGCATATTCTTATCAGGTATTGAAGCTACTCATTCATTTGGTCTAGTGTAATTTGGCTGATCGACGGTTCACGTGACTCATTGATGGATTGTCTATTGTACCTATACTGACGAGTTTTTTCACTCATGTTGTCGGTGTAGCTCAGCTGGTAGAGCGTGCGGTGTACAAAATCGTAGTTGGCCTCCATGCTTAGGTTTAAATCCTACCGAGGCCACTGAACTTTTCACAATCTCAACGTAAGAGTTCAATCTACCAAACAACAATTTGAATAATTCATCGTTGTTTGATATAAACTAAATAACGCTTACACTTAAAATGTGTTATTTGATTTTCTTTCGAACTGTCAAACTCAGAATGCCAACATTTTTTGTCCGATGCGAGACTGGTTGGTGCAACCATCACGCTCCACCTTACAAAATAAAGCTGAAATGCTGAGTCTCTCACATCTTACGTAGTATGTACTAACGCCGTCTTGTATTTTTGCTCATACAGGTGATGGTGACGGCTCCTTACGATCGCTAGACCGGAGTTCTTGTTCTCCAACCAAACGCACTTCATCGATTGTCGTCGCTAACGCGGCCACA